TTGTTCTGAAGTCAAAGGTTGCCCATAAGAGCTAAACTTTAATATCCGTCCTCACAGATTTCTTCTCCATGTTTAAGACAAATGGGAAAAGTCTAAATGGTCTAAATGTTTATAAATTTGAAAATGCTAGACAGAACTCCATTTCATAAAATAATTGCCCTTCCCATTGTACTTCTTTTATGCTGGTCCCAACTCATACAATGATGGAAAAACTGCATTTCCATAGAAACATGATCCAACTGATAGCCAATAGAAAACCTGAAAGGGATAACAGTTGGCACCCATAAAGAATATTATTTTCAAAAATATGGAATGTATAACCACATGCCTTGACTTTTCTTTCAGATATGGATGACTGTTTTCAATGTTCAGAAGATCATTATCCAAATAAAGAAAAGAAAGGCTGTATCTTGAAAAAGGTAGTCTTTCTAACTTTTGAAGAATTCTTAGGAAATGCTTTAGCTTCAGCAGCTCTTTGTTTCTTCTTCTTGACTTCTTGGGCACTTGGAATATTTATTAAACACAGGGATACTCCCATTGTCAAAGCCAACAACAGGTTCCTCATCTACACCCTTCTTGTCTCTCTTCTGCTCTGTTTTCTCTCCTCTTTGTTGTTCCTCAGCCAACCTGACAAGGTAACCTGCCTTCTCCGACAACCAACTTTTGGCATCACTTTTTCAGTGGCCATTTCTAGTGTACTGGCCAAAACCATCACTGTGGTTGTTGCTTTCATGGCCACTAAACCAGGGTCTCAAATGAGGAAATGGGTGGGGAAAAGATTGGCCTTTTCTACTGTACTTTGCTGTTCTCTCTTGCAACTATGTATTTGTACCCTTTGGTTGTCAACATCTCCACCATTCCCTGAGTTGGACATGTATTCAGAGCTCCAAGAAATGATTTTACAGTGCAATGAGGGGTCAGCTTTCTTTTTCTACTGTGTCTTGGGCTACATGGGTATCTTAGCCTTTGCCAGCTTTATTGTGGCTTTTCTTGCCCGTAAATTACCTGACAGCTTTAATGAAGCCAAGTTCATCACCTTCAGCATGTTGGCTTTCTGCAGTGTTTGGGTCTCCTTCTTTCCAGCCTATCTGAGCACAAAAGGCAAAGCCATGGGAGCTGTGGAGGTCTTCTCCATTTTGTCCTCCAGTGCTGCATTACTGGGATGCATATTTTTGCCAAAGTGTTACATTATTGTTTTCCGGCCTGAGTTAAACCACAAAGAGCAACTCATAAAGAGGACTTAATACATAATGTAATCTTCCTTGGCATGAGAAACTGCTGACAGAAAAGTGTAGAAAAATATAGCTTTTATTTCTGTCAAAGAATGAATTATGGAGAATTATTATGCAGCACAGTGGCCTAGAGGTGAAGCTCTCACCTCACAATCAGGAGGCTATGAGTTCGAACCTAGATAGCTGCAGATATTTCTCTCTCTGAGCGCAATGAGTAATTGTCTGCTGCGAATTTCATGTAGACATCAGGAAGAGCATCTGGTCAGTAAACAATCAGTTCCATTCAGTTGCCCTGACTCACCCTGATGCAAGGGATTATAGTCATTAAAAGAAAATTAAAAAAATGATTAAGATTTCTTATGGTCACCCCTTCCAACAGAAGTGCTCATGCTCATTTGCAATAATTTTCCAAAATTCTTTTGCCTAACCCTTTCTCTCTTTCAATATTCCAAGGTAACAAGGATATGAGAATTCAACTTCCTCAGTTAATGTTAGGATACTAGAGATGTTAACTCAAAGGTTGTCCAAAGTTTGCAGCTGCCACGTGCATGGTTTTTATATTTTCAATTCTTAAACAATTTGATAAGTGTAGTAAAAAGTTAATTACATTTTATGAGCATGTATTTAACATGGAATCAGTTTTGTATTGGTTAGGGTTTTTTTGAAATGTGAAAATTATAGAATTTTTGAAAGATAAATGCATTTTTAAAACATGTTTTAGACTTGGTCATAACTATTCACTTTCTAGCCATCATTCTATTTCACTGTAACCTTTTATCATAGTTTAATAATATGAAAAAAAATAGTGAAAAGAAATGTATTCTGCCACATGCTTTATTAGATGTGTATCCTAGTCAATTACCATAATAAAGAGTGATTTGATTTATTGCTCTTTTAGTTTAGCTTTTAGAATTTTTATAGTATACTGTTTCCTGCCTGAGCAGGGGGTTGGAGTTGATGACCTCCAAGGTCCCTTCCAACTTTATTATTATTATTGTTATTATTATTGTTGTTGTTGTTGTTGTTGTATCATTATTGTATAATATATTTAATAATCCTCATGATCTTTATTTACTGTTCTTCTGGATTTTTGCATGCTACCCAAAATAATTTTCTGTGAGATGAACAGCCTTATAAAATTGATGAATAAATTAATATAAACCATATAAGAAATCGTTAGAGATAATTGTGGCATTTGGTATGAAAAGCAAAGGTGAAATCTTGAAATAAATCTGGAGCTCTGTCTTGTACAGGAAGAGACCACAAAGATGAAAATATATGTGGAAAATATTGTGAATGTTCTAATGAAGATGATAGATACGAGAGAGAGAGAGAGAGAGAGAGAGAGAGAGAGAGAGAGAGAGAGAGAGAGATGCCTTGTGCTATCATTCCTTGCACGGTCCCCACAGTAGAAATAGGCACCTATCCAGGTTGACCACTATTGCAGATTCTGCCTAATGTAAGGACCTGCCCCAACTAGTTCTCTCAGGAAAGTACAACTCTTGAAATCATGAGGTTAATCAAAAGAACTTTTACTGAGAAACAGTAAAGGTTGCAGTAAGGTCAGGCAGAATCTAATGATCCCGCAAAAACCATCAAACTATTCTTCCCATTTTGAAACCCAACGCCCCTGACCAGTCTATCAGCAGCCAATACAGTGCTGCAAGGTTATTTTGAGAGTGCTGAGGTACGGGACAGGTAAAAGGTCATCCTCAGGGCTCAGCAACCTTGCAGTCAGTCTAGAACTGGTTGGGAGGGAATCCATCCCATCTCCAAAGAGAATTGCCCTCCCTAATTCCCATGCAGTTACAACAAAAGTGAAAACATGTAAAGAATGCTTGCTTAGGTTCTTTTTCAGCCAATAAAAGATGGATTAGGGAGTTGCAGGTTTAAATTCATGGTCAATTTGGGCAGACCGCTAGATTGTCACTTAAGCAAAGCCTAAAAGGAGTTTTTTTTTAAGAAGAAAATTAAAGCAGGATTATTATCATATATGCTTGATTTATCATCTGCAAATTTATTGAATAAAAACCTGGCAATTTCTGCTTCAAATGAGAATATGATTAAATATAGTTTAAAAAAAAAAGATTAAGGTGCGGCAACCAAAGACAAAAAAGATACTGATGTTTATGTAGATTTTGCTTCTTAGGATCAACAACCAACAATAAAGGAAGCAGCACCCAAGAAGCCACAAACATATGGTGAGGTAGCCATGACAGTTTCAAAGAAGATATCCAGGGATCATCATGGGACACTGTGCATGAAGACAAGGATTCGTTGGTGAAACAGAGCCATGGAAATTCTGACAGTCACACTCAGTAACCACAATTTTTCCCTTCTTTGTGTACCAGTTCAATAGTTCCTATTGTGATTTGTGGTGCTCTAACTTAGACTAGTTATATTGACATATGTTCATTTAAAAATAATTAAATTATCAGCCACTTATTCTCTCATGAAAAATAAAAATTTTTTAATGACCCTGTAATCTCTTGATCTGGGGTGGAATTAGGTTGACTGAATGGACCTAAGCATTTATTGGCCTGATGCCCTTCTGGATGCCTACATGGAGTTCACAGCAGATATTTTCTCTCTGTGCCCAAGGAGAAAAACATCTGCCATCACCTAGGACAGCGGTCCTCAACCTGTGGGTCGGGACCCCATTTGGGGTCGAATGACCATTTCACGGGGGTCGCCAAACAATGCAGTTTGCCATTTTTTCCCCTTTTCCTTAGCTGTGCTACTCCCTTTTATTCTATTGGCTTTTGAAAGCCAATAGAATAGACTCTCTTGAATAGAGTCTAATGCTATTGGCTTTCAAAAGCCAATAGGAATTGCCCAGGCTGTCTCTGCCCTGCTGAGCCTGCCAAAAATCCCATTCTGCAAACGGTGCTGCAAGTTGTCTGCAGCAAAGGCGAGCTGTCTGGAAGTTTCCACCTCTCCCTGCTGAGCAACTACTAAAAATGTAAGTAAAAGAGGGCCTGGGGTGGGAGGTGGGAGGTGGGAGGTGGGAGGCCAGCGGGTGCAGGGAGAGTTGCTGGCACATGTGGGGCCTGACGGGTGCCTTACCTCCCTTGGGCTGGGCCGGCTGGTGGCCCAGCCAGTGGTCACCCTGCACCGTCACTGCCTCTTGCCAGCTACGCCTCAACTGGCGCAGGGGGCGGCACCACCCATACGCGGCGCTTCCAGGCAGGGAAAGTCCTTAACTTATAACCGGTTGGGTAGTCCTTGACGTACGACTGGTTAAGTAGTCCTCAACTTACGACCAGTTGGGGGTCGCAGCATTAAAAAGGTTGAGAACCACTGACTAGGATCAAATTCACAGCCTCCAGACTGAGAGGCAAAAACTCTCCCTGTAGTCCACCATGCTGCTCCATGAAAAATAAAACAATAATCTAGAGGAATCATCATATTTTTTTAGCAAGGCTCAAATATTAAAGGCTTTGCATTTCAGTTCAACAACAATCAAGGTATCTGTTTAGTTGTTAATTAACTTTTGAACCACAGGGAGATTGGCACAAGGGATAATAATGATCTTGGCTGATTCATTGCTTCACGTTCCCTCCTGCCTTTCTTCCTTGCCAGAATATATATTCCAAATCTGGTTATATTCAAGATACAAATTGGCACACACATGGCTCTTCAAACAGAAATTGATGGATTGTCCCATGAAGGGCATTTTCAGATAAAATCTTTGGATTAAACAGTGGATGAACCATTGGGGTGCATACATACTCTGGAACAGACAAATATTTTCACCATCCCAAAAGCATGAAGATGTTATTCCTTTTGATGTTCCTGATGCACAAGGTAGTTACTCTGAGATGCCCTTCAAGTGAAGCTTTCCCTCTTCCACATGAGTGGTTCCAGCCTGGGGATCTCGTCATTGGTGGGATGGTGTCTCAAATTTTTTACAACTTTTATGAAATTGAATTTAAGGAACACCCTTCTCTAAATCCTTATGACTTATCTCTGTAAGAATTTTTATTTTTCCCATGTATTTTCTTAGCTTAGCCAGGTCCCCCAAAATTTCTGATATCAGTAAAGTTAGACCTTCTCATGAAATTCATGAAAGTTTGGTGCAAGATGTCTAACGAAGGACATTTTCCACCAAACTTTAATGCATTTCATGAGAAGGACTTTAATATAATGATTAATTTAGTGTATAATTTAATGAGCTTGAAGTAATTTAAAAAATGTTCTCCATGATCACCCATTACAAAACATACAGACAGTAAATGATTGATATCTGCTGAAGCTGTTCCTGTTATACTTTGTGCTCAAATTGTCAGAATTATATTTGTTAACTGAAAAAAGTCACTACTTTAATTTGCTGTATTATATCATCGTTGCAAGTCATGAAAACACCAGGTAAAATGCAGAACTGAACTCTGAGGAAATTATTGAATATTTTAGAATATCTATTCTATTCCCACTTCCAAGAGAAATGGTTTGTTATCCATACAGAGAGGATGCCTCCTTACAAGAATTGTGAAATTCTTTTTTCAATGGGGTATTTAATTTCTTTGCAGTGTAATAACCAAATTCTACCAGCATGTCCTTGCCTTGGCCTTTGCTGTGAAGGAGATCAATGAGGACTCCCAGATCTTACCTAACATCACCCTTGGGTTCCACATCTATGATAGTTATTACAACCCAAGCATGACCTATCGCTCCACTCTGGACCTACTATTCAAATCCCAGGAATTTGTCCCTAACTACAAATGTGATACCCAGAAGAATCTCATGGCCATCATTGGAGGATTAGATGCTCCTACTTCATCCTATATGGCACAAGTTATAAGTATCTTCAAGATTCCACAGGTAATTTTTGCAGAAGTTTGAAAGAGAAACTTTTCTTTCTTTTTTAATGAATATCAGAGATTATATTTTGGCCATGCCTTTCAATTAAATCCACTTTTTCTCCCTTCTGCAATTTTTCTCACAACCCAATAGGTTGGCTCAAAGTAATCAATCAAGAAAATTAAAATCTTTTATTTGAAATATTAGAAAAGTAAAATTTAAACCACAAATTACAGTACAAAATTAATCTTGTTTGAGATGATCATCTGATCTTCCGGTATGACCACTACATATGATTGAATTCTGGAGCTGTGTTGAGAGAAGGAGTGAAAAGGCTGGCTAGCTTATCCTACACAATTAGTACATAAACTCTCTGAGCAGGAGACCATATACAATTTCAGATAAATGATTTTCCAGTCTCTTTTTGAAAGCCTCCAGTGATGCAGCACCCACAACCTCTGGAGGCAATCTGTTCCACTGGTTGATTGTTCTCACCATTAGGAAATTTCTCCTTATTTTTATGTTGTTTGTCTCCTTGACTGGTTTCCATCCATTGTTTCTTGTCTTGCCTTTGGTGCTTTGGAAAATAGTTTACCCCCTCATCTTTGTAGTAACCCATAAATATTGGAACACTGCTATCATGTCTCATGGTTTTAAGGAGGATCTCCTTTCAGTCATTTCCTGCCCATCCCCAACTCAAGGCAATCCAGCATTTTCACTGCTGCCCTCAACTCACTGCTAGATTCCACCAAGTCACCCAATAATAGGGACAACTCTCTTTGCTATGTCTGGGTTGGTGTCTGTTAATAATAACTGAATGTAAAATTCAACTGATTTGAATTGTTGAAGGACTGGAGCTTTATGTTATTTTGGAGATTTCTATAATAATTGCAGTAAATGAAGACATACTTGATTTTTTCTGTTCCTCCAGAGCCTTGTGCATAGTCTTTCATGTATTCTCTACCTGGGGCAGAGAACGGCAGAAGGTAATGCAATAACCCTAGCTCTTAAAAAACTTTTTTCTTAAGCTAGGAAGAGTTTACATACTCAGATAGTTAGCAGGTTTCAGACTGTTCATAGACATGAGCTATCTGGAACTCCATAGTAGCAAACCAAATTTAGCTTGTAGTCCAGTTATATTCATTCAGTGAGAAAATATTTCATCTTGGCGGTTTTATTGCTGTAATGTTCATCAAAACCATAATGTACCTAGACTTTGAGAACTTTTCAATTGTTCAGTTTCCATTCAGGAGTCATTTTTCCATCTTTTTCCACTGGTTATCATAAATAATAATTTTCCTTTCCTTCTTTCCTTTCCTTCCCTTTCCTTTCTTTTCCTTTCCTTTCCTTTCCTTCCCTTCCCTCTTTCTGTCTTCCTTCCTTCCTTCCTTCCTTCCTTCCTTCCTTCCTTCCTTCCTTCCTTCCTTCCTTCCTTCTTTTCCTGTAGTTGACCTATGGCTCTTTTGCCCAGGAAGAATTTCAGAGTAACAAATTATCTTCACTTTATTGCATGGTCCCAAATGAGGACTATCAGTACATGGGAGTTACACAACTTTTCCTCCATTTTGGATGGAGGTGGATTGGAGTCTTTGCATTTGAAACGAAGGGAGAAAGATTTTTGCAGAAACTGCAGCCGTTGCTTTCACAGAATGGGATCTGTTTAGCTTTCACACAAAAAATTCCACAACATATCCACTTAGAAGATTTGTCAGAATTGTTCGATTCAGTTTCAATTATTTCTAATAAATTGATGGATCAGAAAGCGAACGTTTTTCTTGTCTACGGAGAATCATTCACTATAGTGGGGCTCAGAACTGTCATGTTTCTATGTGATCCAGAAAATAAAAACAGATCATTATTCAGAAAGGTTTGGATCCTGATGAACCCAATTGATTTCATACTGACAGGAATTCAAAAGAGTTGGGATCTCCAGATGTACCATGGGGCTCTTTCCTTTACAGTGCATTCAAGAGAAGTTAAAGGCTTCAAAGAATTTCTTCAAGTCATCAAACCTTCCACCCATAAAGATGGATTTCTTCAAGAGGTTTGGCAACAATTGTTTGACTGTGTGTTTTCAAAAGCAGACTTACCTTCATCTATCAATGGAACTTGTAGTGGGGAAGAGAATTTGGAGAATCTGCCTGCACCTCTGTTTGAGTTGAAGATGACTAGCCAAAGCTACAGTATCTACAATGCTGTTTATGCAGTGGCACATTCTTTGCATGAGGCAGTGAGATCAAGTCCCAAATGGACAAAAATTCAAAGGGTTGAATTTCCAAATCTGCAGCCTTGGCAGGTAATCTCCCCATGTTTTAGCAAATAGTAATTCTCAATGTGATATGACTTGTTTGCCTTGGCCTATGGCCACATATCATTAGAGATCCTAAAGCAACTAGAGTTTTATTGCAAGAGATTGTTCCTTGTTACGAATAAAAGAGATTTAAAAGTCATACTGCCTTTGCAAATTTTGCTCTAGTCAAAGGGATGAATGTATCTATCATCATTCCATTAATCACCATTTCTTCTTTCCTGACTTATAAATTCATCAGTCCTGGTTCCAAGAATACAATGGAGAGGCATCTGAAGGCAGTCTTTGTTTTTTGCCCAACAAATCTTTCTGAAATGGAAACATTTCATTTTTTATTAATTTTTTGAAATTTAATCAAGGCAGGTTTGTTATCCTGGGAAAATACAGCTTATGACAATTGTTCTATTATAGCAGAGGTGTGCTATTTCCACAAAATGATGTTGGTTTTTAGATTTATGGTAAATTACCGGAAGAATTGCTGAGTTTGCTGTCTTTAAAGTACTCATGACGATTAATGATAAAGTAAGTTCCATATTTCAGTTATTGATTATTCTTGGTGTGTTGACATTTTCTTCTTCTGTATTTGAAGACAGGGAATGTTATTTGGTTTCCTTAGAAGGAAGAGTAAAAGAAAGAGAAATTCCTGATGCATTGTTTCCTTTTTGACTTTATTTTTCTCCTCCAAGTAGCTCCACCAGTTTCTTCAAGAGATTTCTTTTAACAACTCAGCTGGAGAAAGAGTCTTCTTTAAAAACAGAAGAGAAGGTCCAGGTGGCTTTGACATTACCAACATGATCACTTTCCCAAACAGATCGTTTCAGAGAGTTAAAATTGGAAAGTTACACCCCAATGCTCCAAAAGGGAAAGAAGTTATCATTGAGAACACAATCCTTTGGCACCCTGGTTTTAACCAGGTATGAATAGCAATTGGGCTGTTGGTTTATTACATTATTGAAAAGTAATAGCAATAGTGCTTAGACTTATAGTATATACCACTTCATTGTGCTTTACAGCCCTCTCTAAACAGTTTACAGTCAGCATATTGTCCCCAAGAATCTGGGCGCTCGTTTTACTGACCTCAGAAAGATGGAAGGCTGAGTCAACTTTGAATTCCTGGCAATGACCTGAATTAGCATGCAATACTGCATTCTAACTGTTGTGCCACTACAGCTCAATCATGTTCAGATAGAAAGGAACAAATAAACCTAATCCTGAAAAATGTTAACAATGCTCAGGGTCATTTATGTAACCCAATGTAAATAATTTCCATTGATTAATCGGGATTCTTTCATATCAACGGCTATGTTTATGTCTGCAGGTTCTTCCTGTTTCTTTCTGTAATGACCATTGTTCCCCTGGATCCTGGAAGAGAAGGGCTGAAGGCAATCAGTTCTGTTGCTATGACTGCATTCCATGCCTAGAAGGAAAGATTTCTAATGGAACTGGTAGGTTATCAATTTCATGCCAGGATTGACTCTACATCTGCCGAAAGGGCAGTTTTGCTTCTGACCCCCACCCATGCCAGAAAGTGCATGCCACCATTGTTCACCTGCCGTGTCCCCCCGACAGCCCCTGTGGTCTCCTATCACGTGCTGGCAGACAGAGGCTCCATGGCCTAAAAGTCCCATTCTATATCCACCATGCTCAAGAAGGGGTGAGGTGAGGGGGAGATATTAACAATGTAGCTTCCACAGCCCATGGCTTTCCCGCTAGGGGGTGGCATGATCCTAGTGAAAGGGAAGCCTTGCAGGCTATGACATCAAGCCAGTGAGTGGGGCATGGAGGCGCTAGTGCCTAGGAAGGCAAGCAGCAGCCCCAGTGGCAAGAAGGGCCACTGAAAAGAGTGGAGTATGTGTGTGTGCCCCGTCAGCTATGCTCTCCTTGCCTCAGATCAGCTGTAGCATGGCGTGGAGAGCAAGGCTGATGTGGGCAAGACAGGCACACATACACACTCCACTGTTTTCAGCAGCGCTTTGGTTCCTGGCTCAGTAAAGTGGAGCTGGGCGTGGTGAGGCAAGGCCAGCAAAGCAGAGCTGGATGAGGAGAGGACCATCAAAGCCGGGCATAGCCAGGTGTGACGGGAGAGATGGAGAGAGGTGGGGCGAGGCTGGGAGAGGAAGATTAGGATGAGGCAAATGAGCTGCAGCTGTTCCTGTGCACCTCCAGCCTCCAAGCGCTCACCATTTCCTTTGTGTGCACTGGGAGGGTTCCCAGCTGGGTTGCGATGGGCCAGGGGCTGGGGCAGCATGGGCTGATCACTTGCCATTTCTGGATCATCTCCAGAGGCCAAATTTGGGCCCTTGGCAGGCCGGCCCTGACCCTCAGGTCTTGTGTTTCATATATCTGTTTTATAAGGACTTCAGGTGTGGGTGTGTCAAGTGAGGGTCTTATGATGTCTCAGGTGTGAGTCATCAGAAATGGGCTCATGGTGGGGAGGTTACTTCAGGTCAGGGCTATTGGAGGATGCGAAATATCCGGGGGTCAAGTTCCATCACCATCCTCTCATTGATGACTCATACCTCAGCCACTGATAATTCACACTCTACAATGATCATGACCTGAAGTACCTTCCCCATCACAAGGCCCATCACAAGCCCCTCTCTCATGACTCATACCTGACCCATCATAAGACTCTCACTTGACACATCCCCACCTAAAGCTCTTGTAAATAGTAAAGCACTGAAATAGAAATCTACTAAATGCCACTGAAAATGTTACCTAGCCTGGTAACAAAAAGTTGAGAGAATGAACCTTCACCCTCAAGATTCTGAGTGCTATAAACTGATTAAGGTCAGTTTAGCTGCAATGAATGCAACATTTCTTTTCCACATGATCTGCCACTTTCCAAGTTTTAACTTCCATAAAAACTGGAAAATACATAGAAGCACAGGGAATTTCACTAGGTCACAGATGTCTTATGAACGGATCAGTTATTTTATCATCCAAGGCACACAGGATGGATATTTGTAGAACCAACTATTGTTCTCCACGTAGACAACAAAAGTAACTTAAAGTCAAGATAAAATAAAGGGATGGATGTGTCCCTTTGAGAGCTGTATGCAATGAAATTCCATTTTAATGTATGCCAATTAGTATACATTCAAAGTGACAATAAAGTTTCTATTCTGTTCTGTTCTGTTCTGTTCTACTCTAAATATCATTTTAACAGAAAGGTACATTTTAGAAAAGAATAAGAACTGGCATCCACACAGCCTATAATTTTCAAAAACACAAAATGGATAGATGACAAATTCATTGACTTTTCCTTCCAGATATGGATGACTGTTTTGAATGTTCAGAAGATCATTATCCAAATAAAGAAAAGAAAGGATGTATCCTGAAACGGCTGATCTTTCTAACTTTTGAAGAAACCTTAGGAATTGGTTTAGCTTCAGCAGCTCTTTGTTTCTTTCTCTTGACATCTTGGATACTTGGAACTTTTATTAAACACAGGGACACTCCCATTGTCAGAGCCAACAACAGGTCTCTCACCTATACCCTCCTTGTCTCGCTTTTCTTCTGTTTTCTCTCCTCTTTTTTATTTCTCAGCCAACCTGGCAAAGTGACCTGCCTTCTCAGACAACCAACTTTTGGAATTACCTTCTCAGTGGCCATTTCTAGTGTACTGGCCAAAACCATCACGGTGGTTGTGGCTTTCATGGCCACTAAACCTGGATCTCAAATGAGGAAGTGGGTGGGGAAAAGATTGGCCTTTGCTGCTGTCCTTTCCTCTTCTCTTGTTCAAGTATGTATTTGTACTCTTTGGTTGTCAACATATCCCCCATTTCCTGAGTTAGAGATGCACTTAGAGACCCAAGAAGTGATTTTACAGTGCAATGAGGGGGCAGCTACATTCTTCTATTGTGTCTTGGGCTACATGGGTTTCTTGGCCATTGCCAGCTTCATTGTGGCTTTCTTTGCCCGTAAATTACCTGACAGTTTCAATGAAGCCAAGTTCATCACCTTCAGCATGTTGGCCTTTTGCAGTGTGTGGGTCTCCTTCCTTCCAGCCTATCTGAGCACAAAAGGCAAAGCCATGATAGCTGTGGAGGTCTTCTCCATCTTGTCTTCCAGCGCTGCATTACTGGGATGCATATTCTTGCCAAAGTGCTACATCATTGTTTTGCGGCCTGAGCTAAACCACAGGGAACAACTAATAAAGAGAATGTAGTACATCAGATTGTTTTACCTAACGTTTTTTTCCTTTTAAGAGATTTGACATATTGACTTTAAGGATAAAGGGCAGCTGGCAGTTCATGGTTTTTATAGCTTCCCTTCATAAACCACTGTATAAATATGGGAAAAAGCTAATGGATATTTTGTAGACATGTATTTAGCTCAGTATCATAGTGAGTCTGTTTTGGATTGATTGGTGATCTTTGAAAGGTAAAAGGTAAAATGTTTTTGAGCATTTAATATACATTTAACTCTGTTTTTTTTAAAAAAAAAACATGAACAGACTAACCATTCACTCTGCATCCACCAAGGTATCTTTATTATATGAAATTTAAGTTTCCTACTGCCTCATCCCTTTCTAGAAGTGTATGCTGGGTGATGTCCATATCAAGTTTGATTTGATTTGGTTTGACTTAGGTATGTCTTCCATTAGTCCTTTGGAGGAGACCCCTTATATTATGTAATATATGCATGTAATATACGTGCTACATCATTGTTTTGCGGCCTGAGCTAAACCACAGGGAACAATTAATAAAGAGAATGTAGTACATCATGTGTTCTTTCTGGCTATGGAAAATGATTAATAATATATTTTTATTGTACCCTACTATCCAATTTTAATAATGGTGCAATTTAAAGAGATATGAAATGTAATCTTCCTTCTGCCTCATCCCTTATCAGAAACATACGCTGGTTGATGTCGGTAATAGATTTTGATTTGATTTGGTTTGATTTAGGTGTGTCTTCCACTAATCCTTTGGTGGAGACCCCTTCCATCATATAATATATGGCTAATAAAATACCACACCAGGCTAAAAAGCAGAAGACCATGAGTTCTACTTTAACCATGAAAGCCACCTGGGTGACTTTAGGACAGTCCCTCTCTCTCAGCCCAACTCACTTCAGAGGGTCATTGTTGTTTGGGGAAAAATAGGAAGAGGAAAGTGTGTTGGATATGTTTGATGCTTTGAATTATTTGTCAAAATACTAAAATAAATAAATAAATTGCTTTGGGTCCTGTATTTTAATTTCATGATATAAATATTGCTGTTGATTCACATTAGCATTATCTGCCTGGAAATATGAGTGAATTCATCCAAATGGCTATCTTGTTTAATTTGCATTCCTTAATAAATAAAAATGTTTCCTCTTCTCTCTTCAACTACTCAGTTCAGTTTACATGAAAAATGGGAGTCCTGCTCCATTGTAAGAAATGAACATGAATTTGAACAATTAGGCCTATTTTTATTGTCATTGTCCCTTACTATATATTATTTTAATTGGCATTTTCTTATTATTAAACCATCAGACACTTGTTATCTCACCAATAGCAAAATAATTATTTCTTACAGGAATCTTAGTTAGGCCCAAACTTGCTGAGCAAAAGCATTTTATAAAATTAAATTCTCCCTGCTAATGAGGATATGATTAAATATAGTTTTTAAAAAACCAGATTAATATGCAGCAACCAGAATTGACAAACAAAATCCTGAAGTTTAAATTTTGCTTCTTACGATCAACAATCAACAATAAAGGAAGCAGCACCCACAAGATATGCAGCAAACATATGGTGAGGTAGCCATGACAGTTTCAGAGACGATATCCAGGGATCCTCATGGAACACTATACATGAAGACAAGGATTTGTTGGTGGAACACACAACCTACTGGAACAGAGCCATGGAAATTCTCACAGTCACACTCAGTAACCACAATTTTTCTTTTCTTTGTGTATCAGTTCAATATTTCCTATTGTGGTTTGTGGTGCTCTAACGTAGACTATTTATATTGGCCTGTGTTCAGTTAAAAAAATAATTAAACTATTAGCCATTTATTATCTCATGAAAAAAAAAATTTTTCTTTTAATGACACTGTAATCCCTTTCTTTGGGGTGGAATCATGGTGACTGAATGGACCTGAGCATTTACTGACCTGATGCCCTTCCTGATGCCTACATGGAGTTCACAGCAGATATTTTGTGCCCAAAGAGAAAAACATCTGCCACTACCTAGGATCAAATTCACAGCCTCCTAACTGAGAGGCAAAAACTCCCCCTGTAGGCCACCATACTGCTCCATGAAAAATAAAACAATTATCTATCGGAATCATCATATTTTTTTTTTAGCTAGGCTCAAATATTAAAGACTTTGCATGAAAACATTTCAATTCAACATCAATTAAAGTATCTGTTTGGTTGTTAATTAACTTTTGAACCACAGGGAAATTGGCACAAAGGATAATAATGATCATTGCTTCACGTTCACTCCTGCCTTTTTTCCTTGCCAGAATATATATTCCAATCCTGGTGATATTCAAGATAAAAATTGGCACCCGCATAGCTCTTCAAACAGAAATTGATGGATTGTCCCATGAAGGACATTTTCAGATAAAATCTTTGGATTAAACAGTGGATGAACCATTGGGGTGCATACATACTCTGGAAGACAAAAATATTTTCACCATCCCAAAAGCATGAAGATGTTATTCCTTTTGATGCTCCTGATGCACAAGGTAGCTACTCTGAGATGCCCTTCAAGTGAAGCTTTCCCTGTTCCACATGAGTGGTTCCAGCCTGGTGATCTTGTCATTGGTGGGATGGTGTCTCACATTTTTTACCACTTTTATGAAATTGAATTTAAGGAACATCCTTCTCTAAAACCTTATGACTTACCTCTGTAAGAAGTTTTATTTTTCCCATGTATTTTCTTAGCTTAGCCAGGTCCCCCAAAATTTCTGATATATGCTTCCTTTACATTCTATTAAAGACCTTCTCATGAAATGCATGAAAGTTTGGTGCAAGAAGTCTATTGAAGGACATCTTACACCAAACTTTTATGAGAAAGCTATAAAAGCTTTTGAAAATAAATGCAGAGTTTACACATACACATACACACAAACACACACACACACACACACACAAACACACATACAAGCCTTTATCATTCAAATGTATTGCCTTGTGACAGAAGAAAGCATTTTCTTTACATTATATTAATGTCCTTCTCATGAAATGCATGAAAAGTAGGTACAAAAAGTCTATTGAAGGACTTCTTACACCAAAATAATATGTATTTCATGAGAAAGACTTTAGTATAATGATTAATTTATTGTATAATTTAAATTTAATGAGCTTGAGGTAATTTAAAAAATGTTCTGCATGATCAGCCCTCACAAAACATACATAGAGTAAATGAGTGATACTTGCTGAAGCTGTTCCTGTTATACTTTGTGCCCAAATTGTCAGAATTATATTTGTTAACTGAAAAAAGTCACTACTTTTATTTGCTGTTGTATATCATTGTTGCAAATCATGAAAACACCAGGTAAAATGTAAAATTGAACTCTGTGGAAATTTATTGAATACTTTAGAAAAGATATTCTATTCCTACTTCCAAGAGAGATGGTTTGTTATTCATATAGAAATGCTGCCACTTTACAAGAATTGTGAAATTCTTTTTTCAATGGGGTATTTAATTTATTTGCAGTGTAATAACCAAATTTTATCAGCATGTCCTTGCCAATGCCTTTGCTGTGAAGGAGATCAATGAAGACTCCAAGATTTTACCTAACATCACTCTTGGGTTCCATATCTATGATAGTTACTACAACCCAAGGTTGACCTATCGTACCACTCTGGACCTGCTTTTCAAATCCCAGGAATTTGTCCCTAACTACAAATGTGATATCCGGAAGAATCTCATGGCTATCATTGGAGGACTAGGTGCTCCTACTTCATCCCTTATGTCAGAAAGCATAAACCTCTTCAAGATTCCACAGGTAATGTGACTTCATCTGTAATGAATATCAGAGATTATTTTTTGGTGTGCCTTTCTGCAGGACTTCAATTCAATCCACTTTTTTCTCCTGTCTGCAATTTTCCCCCACAACTCAATAGGTTGGCTCAAAGTAGTCAGTGAAGTATATCAAAACCTTTTCTTTGATAGATTAGAAAAGTAAAATGTAAATCATAAATTGCAGTACAAAATTAATCTTATTTGAGAGGGTCATTTGATATTCTGATCTGACCACTACCTGTAGTAAATTCCGAAGCTGTGTTGAGATAAGGAGTGCAAGACTGGCTAGCACATGCTACACAATTACTACATAAACTCTTTGAGCAGGAGAACATATACAATGTCAGATAAATGATTTTCCAGTCTCTTTTTCAAACCTCCAGTAATGGAGCACCCACAACCTCTGAATGCAAGTTGTTTCATTGGTTAATTATTCTCACCATTGGAAATTTCTCCTTATTTTTAGATTGTTTGTCTCCTTGATTGGTTTCCATCCATTGTTTCTCCTCTTGCCTTTAGAAGCTTTGTAAATTATTTACCCTTCATCTTTGTAGCAACCCATAAATATTGGAACACTGCTATCATGTCTCATGGTTTTAAGGAGGATCTCCTCTCAGTCACTTCCTGCCCATTCCCAACTCAAGGCTATCCAGCATTTTCACTGCTGCCCTCAACACACTGCTAAATTCCACCAAGTCACACAACAATAGTGACAACTCTCTTTTCTATGTCTAGGTTGGTGTCTGTTAATAATAATTGAATGTAAAATTCAATGGATTTCCCTGGAAATTGTTGAAGAATTGGAGCTTTATGTTACTTTTGGAGATTTCTATAATAATTGCAGTAAATGAAGTCATACTTGACTCTTTCTATTCCTCCAGAGTCTTGTGGATAGTCTTTCATGCATTCTCTACCTGGGGCAAAGAATGGCAGAAGGTAACACAATAACTCTAGCTCTTAAAAAGCTTTTTTCCTAAGCTAGGAAGAGTTTACATGCTCAGATAGTTAGCAGGTTTCAAGCTGTTCATAGAACTCCATAGTAGCAAACTGAATTTAGTTTGTAGTCCAGTTATATTCATTCAGTGAGAAAATATTTCATCTTGGGGGTTTTATTGCTGTAATGTTCATCAAAACCATAATGTACCTAGAGTTTGACAACTTTTTAATTTTTCAGTTTCCATCTAGGAGTCATTTTTCCCTCTTTTTCCGCTGGTTATCATAAATAATAATTTTGCTTTCCTTCTTTCTTTTCCTTTCCTTTCCTTTCATATTTCTGTCTTTCTTCTTTCCTTCTTTCCTTCCTCCCTCCCTCCCTCCCTCCCTCCCTCCCTTCCTTCCTTCCTTCCTTCCTTCTTTCTTTCATTCTTTTCCTGTAGTTGACCTATGGCTCTTTTGCTCAGGAAGAATTTCAGAGTAACAAATTATCTTCACTTTATTGCATGGTGCCAAATGAGGACTATCAGTACATGGGAGTTATACAACTTTTCCTCCATTTTGGATGGAGGTGGATTGGAGTCTTTGCATTTGAAACGAAGGGAGAAAGATTTTTGCAGAAACTGCAGCCGTTGCTTTCACAGAATGGGATCTGTTTAGCTTTCACACAAAAAATTCCACAACATATCCACTTAGAAGATTTGTCAGAATTGTTCGATTCAGTCTCAATTATTTCTAATAAATTGATGGATCGGAAAGCGAATGTTTTTCTTGTCTATGGAGAATCATTCACAATAACGTGGCTCAGAACTGTCATGTTTCTACTTGATCCAGAAAATAATGACATATCAATAAAGGTTTGGATCCTGATGAACCCAATAGATTTCATACTGACGGGAAGTCTAAGGAATTGGGATCTCCAGATGTACCATGGGGCTCTTTCCTTTACAGTGCATTCAAGAGACATTCAAGGCTTTAAACAATTTCTTCAAGTCATCAAACCTTCCACCCATAAAGATGGATTTCTTCAAGAGGTTTGGCAACAATTGTTTGATTGTGTGTTTTCAAAGGCAGACTTACCTTCATCTATCAATGGAACTTGTAGTGGGGAAGAGAATTTGGAGAATCTGCCTGCACCTCTGTTTGAGTTGAAGGTGACTAGCCAAAGCTACAGTATCTACAATGCTGTTTATGCAGTGGCACATTCTTTGCATGAGGCAGTGAGATCAAGTCCCAAATGGACAAAAATTCAAAGGGTTGAATTTCCAAATCTGCAGCCTTGGCAGGTAATCTCCCCATGTTTTAGCAAATAGTAATTCTCAATGTGATATGACTTGTTTGCCCTGGCCTATGGCCACATATCATTAGAGATCCTAAAGCAACTAGAGTTTTATTGCAAGAGATTGTTCCTTGTTACGGAATAAAAGAGATTTAAAAGTCATACTGCCTTTGCAAATTTTGCTCTAGTCAAAAGGATGAATGTATCTATCATCATTCCATTAATCACCATTTCTTCTTTCCTGACTTATAAATTCATCAGTCCTGGTTCCAAGAATACAATGGAGAGGCATCTAAAGGCAGTCTTTGTTTTTTACCCAATAAATCTTTCTGAAATGGGAACATTTCATTTTTTATTAATTTTTTGAAATTTAATCAAGGCAGGTTTGTTATCCTGGGAACATAAAGCTTATGACAATTGTTCTATTGTAGCAGAGGTGTGTTATTTCCATGAAATGATGTTGGTTTTTAGATTTATGGTAAATTACCGGAAGAATTGCTGAGTTTGCTATCTTTAAAGTACTCATGACGATTAATGATAAAGTAAGTTCCATATTTCAGTTATTGATTGTTCTTGATGTGTTGACATTTTCTTCTTCTGTATTTGAAGACAGGGAATGTTATTTGGTTTCCTTGGAAGGAAAAGTAAAAGAAAGAGAAATTCCTGATGCATTGTTTCCTTTTTGACTTTATTTTTCTCCTCCAAGTAGCTCCACCAGTTTCTTCAAGAGATTTCTTTTAACAACTCAGCTGGAGAAAGAGTCTTCTTTAAAAACAGAAGAGAAGGTCCAGGTGGCTTTGACATTATCAACATGATCACTTTCCCAAACAGATCGTTTCAGAGAGTTAAAATTGGAAAGTTACACCCCAATGCTCCAAAAGGGAAAGAAGTTATCATTGAGAACACAATCCTTTGGCACCCTGGTTTTAACCAGGTATGAATAGCAATTGGGCTGTTGGTTTATTACATTATTGAAAAGTAATAGCAATAGTGCTTAGACTTATAGTATATACCACTTCATCGTGCTTTACAGCCCTCTCTAAACAGTTTACAGTCAGCATATTGTCCCCAAGAATCTGGGCGCTCGTTTTACTGACCTCAGAAAGATGGAAGGCTGAGTCAACTTTGAATTCCTGGCAATGACCTGAATTAGCATGCAATACTGCATTCTAACTGTTGTGCCACTACAGCTCAATCATGTTCAGATAGAAAGGAACAAATAAACCTAATCCTGAAAAATGTTAACAATGCTCAGGGTCATTTATGTAACCCAATGTAAATAATTTCCATTGATTAATCGGGATTCTTTCATATCAACGGCTATGTTTATGTCTGCAGGTTCTTCCTGTTTCTTTCTGTAATGACCATTGTTCCCCTGGATCCTGGAAGAGAAGGGCT